TTTTAAAACTATAATGAGCATCCATGTTTTATCTGTTTTTGAATATTGTTCTAAATTGCTGTGGTCGAAACACCAAAGGCGACATAACTAACATGCAAGAACTTGAATGTAACAATAAGTATCAAAGGAGTCCGTGACACGACCACAGGTAAGATTATGTTTTGTTATAATGATGTATTCCTCGGAATGAAAGTGTAAAGATATAGGTAAGTTCGGTGGCCAAAGTGACTTTCACTAATCTACACACATACATTTGAAACTAGCTATCTCGAAATAAAAAGGACCGTGAAATAATATTTCGAATCAAGCAAAGTGTCAAAATACAGTTGACGATATCAGTTTCCTGACGTTTATTACGGTTGAACAATATTGGGCTAATATATTCAACCGTGGTACAAACAACATAATTTCATGTTTTTAAACAGAAAAATATATATTTCTACTTTCTCCTTTCATTTCTTATTCATCAAAACAACAAAACATGTTATAACAATAACAGTCAACTTCACTTCGCTGCGTGTACACTCCCCTTACTGACAAAGCGCTTATAGATCGTAATAACGATAAAACTAGTTTTTTTGTTTGATGATGCAGTAAGATACATTTCATATTAACGTTACTCTGAATGAATAAATAATGAAAAAGGCATCGCTTGAAAGTGTTTTTCCTGTTACAGAAAACATAAGAAAAGTACAAGACTAAACAAATTACGCACAACCATCGACTGATTAAAGATTGCTGTCACTCTTTCTTTCGATGAAGCTTTCTAAACTCCCGTATGAAGGTTCCTTTACCTTTATAGCTGTGCTGTTATGGTTTTGGTAATGATTAGAAAAGCAAAATGGCTGACAGGCTTCTACCTTTGATTATGCCTTTTTATGGCTTATAATGTGTGCCCCAGTGATCCAAATATATGACTAATTTTGAAATCAATCAGAAAAAAGTGATTTATACTATTTTAAAGTGACATTAAAAACAAAATGTAATATTTTAAACAACGAAAAAAGGAAGCTTGGATAACGAATTAATAGTGTTTATTTATTATAGTTGTTAAGCTTTGTGATCCTGATACAAACTTGAGGAGAATGATCCCATGGTCAGCATACAAGTATTCCAATGTTGTGATTATGGTGATAATATTGTCTTAGATTCATCCTCAGTAGAGATAAAAACATAGTTGATATAATTAACCTCATCAACTATATGGTCCATAAGCATACATTCAATATATTAAGGTTTGTATTCCTTCCCCACTGCAGGTGATCGTTTTTACAGTTTGTTTGTTTCCTAACATGCGCATGTATAGTCAGTCTAAATTTAAAGTTGTATTACTTTATTATTTTGGGCGCATATATTGTGACATAATCATGTCATTTCTAGAGAAGAAAAGAAATAAGGAAGATGAAGAATTGGTTAATTTCCCCACCCAAGGATGCGTCTGATCGAATTTGGTGCTAATCAGAGCCCTCCCCCTCTCAATATCCACTCAGCCCCCGTTTACTGTAAAGCATATCTAACATTGAAACGAAATTCATCTTCACCTTAGGATGCTGCAAACCACATTTTGACAAAAGTGTATCACTTAAAGAGAACAAAGGGGGGAAATACCATGGGTCAGGCCCTATAATTGTACAATTCTGGTTCTAACATTCCTCAAAGATACTTCGGGTTAAAATAAATTATTCCTACAAATGAGTTGATTATTTTCTCTTATAGGGCCTGGTGGGGTCCGGTAGTTCTCGGTGGTCTATTTTTGTGAAATTGGTTTTCTTTCTCCCATGTATCTTCAGCTCAGTCGAAATTCAGTCAGCTATTTATGACTGCTATCAACTTCAAGAAAGCGGTCTATTGGACGAGGTGAACTAGAAGATAGTTAAATGAAATGTTAGTATCAATGATGAATAGGGAAGAAAGAATGCCACATTATTTTACATTAATTTTGAGGGAAGAAACATGTATGCAATAGAGATGGAAACGTCACTCCAGGGAAAATCAAGTTCAAAAAGAGACAACGTTATCACCATGGATAGCACCTCTTCTGAAACATCGCAACATAACAAGGGAAGGATTGCATTATCTCCCCCTGACGGTGGCTGGGGTTGGATAGTCGTCGTAGGTAGTTTGATAACCCGTATATTATTATGTAAGTACTTAATGTTCGTTCGGTTAACATTCAGTTCCAAACACTTAATGTCAAGAAAACATTTCAGAACGTAGCAGGTAACTGCATTCCAATATCAACTTATGTGACACAGATCATAAAACAAAGATTATTCGAATTCGAATTATCAGGTCAGGCAGACTTTTCCTTTATTAATATGATAGTTTATCATACTGAAATTAAAGTAAGAAGGGTCGTTATTTGATCGTCTTTCGGTTAAAAAATGTAAAATATTGTATTCATTAATCTTACATCTGATCTCGTTTAAACTGATACATAATGATAGTGAGGTCCAACGTTTACTTTGTTCATAATGTTTGAGAAGACGGAAAGTGCAAAGACATTCCTTGTCGAACCGGTATTAAATATATTATAGATTTTTTTAGCTGGTTTACAATCATCCTCTGGGGTTTTCTACCTGAAGTTTGAAGAAAAGTATCATCAATCACCTGCTCTCACCCTTTGGATGTGTACTCTTCCAGGTGTACTGCGGACTTTATTAGGTACATTACAGGTTTATGATATTCGTATTTCGAATTAAATTCATTATATTTCAACAAAACCGTTTTCGTTGGAAAGATAGTGCTATTCAGCCGTTAGAGCACACTATCTGTATTTTCCCCATATTAAGTCTTTATTTCACGGTAAAATCAAACTAAATTAACATGCTTTCCTTGTCGTTCTATCACAAGAACTTTATATGTATATAGTTGGCATTGCTTTTATAATATTTCATAAAAACGTTAATACATCATGTTCTCTCACCTGTGACGCGAAAGGACGCATTCTATTACTACGATTATTATTCAGCATATAATTGCCACTGTGTTGATTTTGTAGGTCCGATGAGCGCTATTCTCATCAACAGATTTTCATGTCGCTCTGTTTCAATAGCTGGAGGTCTAGTTTTAGGATTGAGCCTCGCTTGGACTGCTTTCGCCAATGATTTTATGTTTTTCATCTTCAGTTTTTCATTACTCGGAGGTAAGCACAGTATTCAATTCTTTACTTTTTGCACTGATTTCAATCTGATTAAAATGAATATTTTGAACCCAACACAATCACTCTCTGCAATATGATATGATCCTTACTATAATGGTCGACAAAAATGACAGTAGAACGAAAAATTTAAAATGTATATTTGAAAATAACCTTTGTCTTTACAGTAATAAATTTCCAAACTTATTGGCATCCCTCATTCGAAATATTCTTGCACCTTGATTAAACTTCCATGTCGCCTATCGTTGTTACTCGATTTCGAATGGACGATACATGACGATCTCTGTTGAAGCAACAACTTTCTAATATATCTAAGGAATTGTTGATTCACAGAGAACGATCATGTATCACATTAGATATTATATAAATCTGGTTAGAGTCAAGTTGGACGTCTCAGTAAAAAAAAGTCTCAACACCACGATTTCCTGAATTTAGAAGACCCAACAGATTAATTTACTACTGAACTTCATGAGATAGCCGAAGAATGTTTAACAAAGTCAAAAAGAAAACACAATAAAAATCTTGGATTAATGAATATTGTGATAAAGCTTTTAGAAATAGGAAAACCACATGCGATAAAAAAAACTATTAAATCATTAGGGTAAAAACCCATCGTAGTATACGTTTACATTAACAAATGTTTTTGGGTTCCTTATATATCCAAATTAAATTCCGATACATCCACCAAAAAAGGTATTGGATATGATTATCTAATCAGCGGTAAAACATCATTCAAACAATCGGATATCTGAAAACAAATGAAACATTAGCCACATCGATGGTTCTTTTTGCAAATGCTTTAGGCTATGCTTTTCTGAAAAAAAAGTCGTCAAAAAATGATCATTCCAAACAATTTAAAAAAAATTAAGATCACTCGAGAAAAAAAAAACTAAGTTGAAATTGACCACCAAGCTATATCAATGAAAATATTATTAGAAACTAGTAATAAATCTGGGCCAGGAATTTGGAAATTAAATAACAGTATTTTGGAAGACAAAGATTATATCAAACACATGCAACAATGTATAGAACAAACATTGGAAGAAACTAAAAAAGACATTTAAATAAAAGACAGACTTGGGACTATTGCAAAGCAATCATACAAAATAAAACAATAGAATTTTGTAGAAAAAAGTCTCATGAAAGAAAGTCTACTATTAACAGATTAGAAAATAAACTGGGTTTTTTGAATGGCAAAAGTAATATATCTTTGAAAGAAACAAATGAGATAGTTGCTTTTGAAACAGAGCATTTATACGACCAGAAAGCAATAGGGGCACAGATAAGGGCAAGAGAAAAGTGGTTAGAACAAGGTGAACACGTTTTCTATGAAAAATTGTATCAGTCTGCTAACCCAAATATAAATGACATTGATGAGTATATGAATAATACTGAAATAGAAGCTAAGCTAACAGAAATTGAGAGTATAAAATGTGATGGGTATATTACTTTGGAAGAAAGTACAAATGCTGTACATTAGATGAAATTAAATAAAAGCCCAGGAATGGACGGATTAAATGTAGAATTTTATCAGACGTTTTGGGATAAGATTGGACATATATTTACCGAATCTTTAAATGAAGCGTATGAACAGAAAGAATTGAGTGAAACGTTGTTGGGCACGTATGAAGGGCACAACATGTTGTCGAATGATAGCATCTCTGTATTGAATCCCGGTCAAATTACCTTGGACTAACACAAGAGGAGTTCTGCGATGGGAAGTGATCCCTCCCCAGACCATAACACTGCCACCACCAAAAGAACGTCGTTCTACGACACAGGCATCTTGGAATCGTTCTCCAACACGGCGATACACTCTGTTACGGCCGTCACTGCTGTCTTAGTGAAATCTCGACTCGTCCGTGAATAAAATACCCGTCCATTCACGTTGGGTGTATCGGATATGCCTACGGCACCACGCTAATCTTGCTTGGCGATGACGTTGCTGCAATACAGGACGTATGGCGGGGCGTCGCGGCCGGATTCCGTGTTCTCTCAGTCGGTTACGGACGGTTCTTGGGTGGATATTTCTTAGTCCAGGAATGTTCCTAGACGTTAAACTGGCCGTTTGGAAACGATTCCTTAGGTGCGTTAACCGTATGTAATTGTCCTGTTGATGTGACGTCACACGCGGACGTCCTGAACGCGGTCTATCCCGAGTGATTCCATATTGCCGATAACGTCTTGCTAAAGACTGTATGGTATTCCTATGGACATTGAAACGCTGTGCGATGTCATTTTGGGTCATTCCTGCCTCAAGCATGCCGATTATCCGCAAACGCTCATTTTCCGTCAACCGTGGCATTATCAGAAATCGCTTTTTCTTGAAACTAGGATGTTTTTTGGTTCATATGGTACCCACAGAGGGATATTGACACAAAAATAACGATAGGTATTCACTGACAGGTGTACTGCCTTCCAATTAGATGTTGGTCAAATTACCAGGGTAGGTCGCAAAATGCACGTGCGGTAGGTGACCTAATGACGTGATAGCGTGTGGTATGACACAATAAATATGCCCATGAAATTTTATTGAGAAATGTTCGGTAGTTTCCGAGATAATTAAATTTTAGTGATGCACAGTTTCTTTTTTCCGTTAGTATGTCATGCTATCTTGTCAAAGTGAAACAAATATAGAAATATATATAGTTTAAGTTTTTTGTTGAGTCGATTGAAAAACAAAACAAGGCTGCAGTGAATGTGCTGATAAGGAAAGCAAGTATGAGCGAGTCTATGAATGAGCAAGAGTGTTCATTTGCTTAATTAAAAAATAGATACCTTGAATGTTGATAAATGTAAACACAATACATAGATTATGACAGGTACAACCTTTTCGCAGACGCGTAATTGATTTAAAAACAAAATAAGACTGCTATAAATATACTGATAAGGAATGGATGTATGAGCGAGTCTATGCGTACTTCTAAAAAATCGTTGAATGGAAATTGGTATGAAAAAGTGTGAGTGTACAAGTCTGGAGGGAAAACACATAAAACACATTGTAAACATTGCTGAAATCAGTATCTTGTTCTCCGAGTGCAAAAAAAAAAAAAAAAAAAAAAAAAAAGTTGAAATTCCCTTCCGAAAACAATAATACTCATCATCAACCTTTCTCAATATTTGAACTTCTGGAATCGTTGAAAACACATCTCTGCAACAGGACATGTAGATATTCACATTAGTTCATAAAACATCAACCAGGGTCATCATTAGTAAAAAACTACTTGAAATTTTAGATATTTTTCGATCGGATATTGTCTCAAAGTCACGAGAAAAGACAACTGTCATTCCTATCCCCAAGCAGGGTAACGCTACTACTTATACCTCCAGTGACCACCTTATATCACTCACTAGTTGCATTTGTAAAACTCAAGGGCGGATGGTTAATTCAATATTAATTTGGAATTTGGAATCTAATAACAAAATATCACCCCAAACAAAGCGGTTTTAGATCTAAACGAAGTACCACGGGTCATTTGGTTAGACTTTTGTAAATGAGGTTTTTTCTAAAGAAGGATCACTTGGTTGCTGTTTTCTTCGATTTGGAAATGGCTTACGAAATAGAACGGAATAGAACGACCCTTTCCGATGTTCATCAGCAGGAAATGGGTGTACCTCATGGCAGCATTCTGTCGGCTACACTTTTTGGAATTAAAATTATGAATGCGATCGAAACACAGCTTTTAAATTGGGGCAGTTTAAAATCAAAAACAGTTTTTATACGTGTTTGTCAGATGCGGAAACAATCTTTGACTGTGATATTTGACATGGAATTGTCGTTCCAACTTCCTCAAGGCACTGAATATTCTAAAGGTTTTGTCTCACACTGCTTGATGAGGCGATAGGAAAGTTTTGCTAAGACTTTATAGAGCTCTAGTTAGATCAAGATTAGACTACAGTTCCGTTATGTATGGCTCTGCTAGACCTTCATATCTCAAATTATTAGACATTGTTCATTACCTGCAACCATCAAAGCTGTCACCCTATACTGATAATTCTTATGGAGTTATTTCCCACTGTTATTTCCGGTGGGGAATCAGCAACGTTATGCCCAAAAATGCATTTTTTTCTATGAAAATTACATAAAGGTCTTAATTACATTTTTCTCCCCAGGAAGAAATGTGAGACTCATTGTGGTAATTAAAGGACCTTAAGATGCCCCCATTCATGAAGAGCATTTGCCATACCATATATTGGTGTTGAGAAGATTTTTGAAATTTGAGTCAATTAAACCCCGTTTGACACCGCCCATCAGCCCCTGGAGGTCAATCAGGATCAAAATGGGCACACAATCAAGCAGTCCCCGTTCACTTTTCATTTTATTTGGAAATATTTTCAATGGAAATTAAGCAAATAATGCTCAAATATCTAGTTTTCCTATAAAAAGATATCATAATGTTTTCCCCTTCCAAACGGGAAAAGTGAAAACCTCGGGCCAATTGTGCAGTATGTACATATCTGATATCTACACACACACACACACACACACACACACACACACACACACACACACACACACATATATATATATATATATATGTGTGTGTATATATCATATATATCGCATGATGCACTGTGGAGACTGAGTCTGCAATGCAAGAAAGGTTCACTTGGTTGTCCTGGAAAGTGTATTCAGGTCTAAACAGGTTGTTCTTTAGCTTTATGTTTTTCCGTTTCCGTTTGATTGGTGTGTATTTGTTGTAAGATTATATCCTCATTGCTTTCCCTATCCAAGTCAATGAAATTCTATTGATGTCACGGCATCATCCCGATTATACATTATATGTTATACAATGATATTGTTGGTATTTATTTTAAGGAATTCAGCGAGTGCAACAGACGACGAAGAGCGATGCGTTACACAATAACTATTTATATGCCGACACTAATAAAAATGTTTTTTTTTTTTTTTTTTAATTTTGTAGGAATTGGTATGTGCCTCACCCATTCTTCTAGCGTTATCATCGTGAATCAGTACTTTGACAAAAGACGTGGATTGGCCAATGGTATAGCGGGTTGGGGATTCGGATCATTTATTTTTCCTGCTGCAATCAATTTTCTGTTCGAGTGTTACGGATTTCTCGGAGCCTTTCTAATACTATCAGGGGTAGTTCTAAATATCATTGTGTGTGGATTACTCTTCAGACCTCTTCTGATCGACACAAAGAGCAAAAGGTGCTTCATCATTGACCTCATTAGTTAGAAATTCCTTTAGCAATGCATAAATGATGATTTTCCCATAGAATAGGACACTGGCATCTAATGTGCCTGTGTTATTCATGATAAAAAAAACGAAAACACTAACATGTAACATACTCCTAATCCAAACTCACATACAATAAACTAGAGCAAAATAGGAACAAAACAGTTTTTATTTGCAGACTCCTAAAAACAGTGAAAGGAGTATAAACCATGTGTTCCGGAAGAGTAAACATCTTCTGATTCATCGTCGACACCCCAATGTAAATAATGATATGTTTTCAAATGACAGCATGGTATGCAACAACAGAACCATCAGGCAAACTAACGAGCAAATGAACAGGCTTTCTAGTACCAATAAGTTTTCCTGTATCATCGTCATGTTGTATATATTCGCTTCGTTTGTTTAATTATTTTAGCTATAGTAAATGAGATATTTTGTTTATATTTCTATTTGATTATTTTCAGAAAAAGTCCGCAAACATCAAATCCAGAACGTTCTTTCAAAAAAGACCAAGATTATGTAGAATGCTGCAACAAAACACACCGTTTAAAGAGATGCTGTAGTTATTCAAACATTAAAACGTTAATGATGGATTATAGATTCTTATCTTATAGTATTGTTGTTGCCCTTTTTTCTGTTTCAAGCCAATCGGTATTTGCATTAATTTTGTTGTTTGGAAGAGAGGGCGGCATGGATGAAAGAGATTCTATCTATGTTGTTTCTGCAACAATATTTTGTGTCGGAATAGGTCGGATGTGTTCAGGGGCGATTTTCGATATGCGATTTCTGGCACGATATAAAATCTTTGTGTATAACGTAATACTGTTCTCTGTTGGAATCACATTATGCACTCTTCCTGCTGCCGCTTCTACGTTCACTGTAATGTTTATACTGTGCGGAACATACGGATATTTGATGGGATCCGTCCTTGCGGCAAAATCTATCATTCTTGTCGATATCACTGGCGTGGAGAATATAGTCAATGCTTTTGGGATACTGCTGCTTTTCCAAGGATTTGGGTCATGTGTTGGTCCCATAATTACAGGTATCTTAAACACATGTTGTCATTATATTCTATCATTTGTTTATTCAATGAAATAGATTCGATAGCACGGTAATAATAAAAGAGAAGAATATACACTATGAAATATATGCTATATCTTATGCAACCTTTATATCAAACACACTGCCTATGTTAATGATCTCTTTCAACGTATTTGTTGTATGTTACAATGTATGTAACTGGCTAAATGCAGGCATTTATAGGTGTTTTCCATATTAAACTACAGGTTACATCACAGATATCACTAATACTACCAGTGGTGGGTTTTATTTTGGCGGACTTTGTACAACCGGTGGAGCAATCCTCTTTTCGACGGCAAATGTGATGCATTGGAAAAAAAATAATCGTCGAGCTACATTTGTGAGTGATATTTCAATTATAACAGGAAGCGATACGATCCCAAAAACAGATGACCCATCATGTAGATTAGAAGGCTTTAGGCCTATCGACAGATTCTTGGAAAAGAATTATCTTATTTGAACTTCGCTGATTCAAGCAGTTTGCTCTGTTCTCATGATCCTTGTTCTCAAGACCACAGCGACGTTTGGATGTACCGACCAGGCAAAAACATTCCCACCTGTTTGCAAAACGACTTGTACTTGTAACACGATTGACGTTTAATACTGCACTTTATTAAGAGATACTCATCCAATTTCATACATTGTATCCCCGTGGTCTCTAGTTCTGTTTCTATCTTTTCTAAGTATATGTTTTCACATAGGTCAGCATTTTTTTTATAATTTCCATACAAATTCTCCAGATTGAACAAAAGAAACAAGTAAAAAGCATCTTTCATACATTTTTTTACACAAGAAGAACCAAACAATGAATTCAACTGATACTACCATTTCGTTAGGAGGCGAAAACAACAATCTAGCCCAATATTCAATACATTTCGTAATTTTCATATCTTCGATACTATTAAAGTATCATTATGAACATGTGTATGTATTAACAATTGTGTATTATGGCAAACCTCATGCACCACCGACAAAAAAATCCACTAGTAGTGTATACCTCCTGCTATCACTAAAAGTATACAAAATATGTGCAATTAGTTAATACTACGGATTTATGATCTGATATAATAGAGCAAAACGGAGAACTTAACTGCACCATACACCTGTTTCCTCCTATCATATCTTGTCATTGAAATCAATTGCCTGAATATAAATACTTACCCAGAGGAAAATAAGCACGACCGAAAGAAATGGGGATGTACACTAGCTATCATTAGTATCTCATTCATTTTGGATATCAAACACTTGGTTATTGTGACCTTGAAAGTTAGTCAGAGTCATTCAAGTGAAAATACCTGGTGGTCTTTTAATCTAGCAAACTACATAACAGTAATCAGGACCTCCTTTATATTTAAATGTCAGTTGATAACTAAAAAAAGAGAACGTTTTTGAATCGCTCTATGTTTTACAAGTTGATGACTCTAATGGCCTTTTATGTGGTGATTGGCCGTTAATATAGTAATAATAATAATAATAATAATACTATCCTCCAAAGATACTTCTGACCAAATTTGGTAGAAATCTGCTATGTGATTTATAAATTGTAGTATAAGAGATAAGCGCAATGGTCTTTCGGTCTCATTCGCATTTCGGTTGTTCGAATGTACTCCTGTAAGTTGTCATGTATATTGCACCCTCGCAACATATCGGTATTTAATATGATACATGTTTTATTATTAAACGTGGAATGATGAATAAAAAGACAAGAAAACATATTGAATTGTTTATCATTTGATGCCAAAAATTTAACAAGCTGTACATCTGTTGTATATTAAACTTGAATCTTGAAATGAATGATGATGAGATTCTGTGATTTAATTCATTCCTTCTTGAATCATTTATGAAAACATTCCAAACCAGATGTTTATTAGAAAGTATAATGTAAACTGAATGGAAATTACTTCATAACAATTATATCACTTTTCAGAACATATTGTAGTTTAGAATTAGGCCATGAATCAGTTTGTAAATGACATATTAATGATATATCTACATGATTCGTTGTCTAAAATTGGTGAATATGAAATATCCACCTGCTGGTTCATTGTCTTAGAAATGTGGATCCATTACCCTGTCGTTGAAGTACTAAGTAAGTTTTGTACAACAAGATACAAAACCAACATCAAGAGGACAACAAAATATCCCATAATCTTCAGCAGCAGCTGTCAAGTATGAACACGTATATATCATTTCATAAGTCGATCTAACAAGTAATCATTTCCTCGAATTTCACCAAGGATACATTCGTTCAAAACATTTAATTATGTACGCTAATAGTATCTATTTCACAAATCCCATTGAATATGGCGATGATAAAATATTTTAATTTTCGAAAGATGAACCAGGTCATTTTATTGAAAATGGTACTTAAGAAAAAGGCTTCAAAAGACGTCAAAAAAGGAAATTTTAATAATTGATATATTTGCTTAAGGGTGTATTTAAACAGAAATCAATGGTAAATAATACCTGTAATGGATATATTTTAGTTTAAAAAATATCTCATTTACAAAATGCAACAGAAGAAAATTCAAAGATAAACATTTCTCTTAATATATAGATGAATATATAATGACAATCAACATCTGCTTACCGTGATGGAAACAACACAAAGGTATGTTTGACCAGTTAACACAGGAACGGAGTTCATTCTTGATATTTTATCTCCCTCGTTACGGCCAGTGTCCCAAGTGTTGACGTGTTCCTTGCGTTCTATTTTTGCATTTTACAATATTTCGTAACTTAATATATAATGTCATGATCCAGGGGTCTATTGTTAATGTATGACCTTGACTTTCTTTTATAGTGTACCATTATTCACTTGTCAAACATATTAACTTCTTGCTAAAGGAGCAATTCGGAAAAGGTTAACGACACATGGGAATTCATCATAATGAAAGATCTCCACGACATCGCATTGCTTGGAGAGCTGATAGTATTGCTAAGACTTTATAGAGCAAAAACAACAATGTCATGACTTGTTACGTTGTAACATTGAAATAACGTTTAATGGACGGTGCATTTCATAGATATAAGTCCGGGCTTAAATATTATTTTAAGATTACCGAATTGTAATGAATGTTCCAGTTAATACAAGCGTGTGTATGCGGGTTTGTGCGAGTGTGGTGGGAGATACCTATAACGCAATAGATGATTGACAAAACAATACATAAATATACCCCAGGATCAGTCTGATGACATACATGCAGTCTGGTATGTGTTAGATAATTCCCTGTTTCTAAGACTCAAATATATATCATTAATATCATTACAGTCGTAACGGCCATTCAACACAAAAGGTCATGTAATTTATAATATGAACTAATATTAATTGTAGTACAAACTTAATTACGAATTGTATAAATTAAGTTAATCATATTCAAGTTAACTTAAATATACATGTAGATCTACAAACATGTTATATATTCACATCCAGATTGTAAACCCCGGTATCTGCACGCATGTATTTAATCTGATTGTGTAAATTCGTACTATAAACACTATATATTACTTCATTGATGCTACAATACGTTTTCCCGGTTTATGTCGCACCCGGAATTTAAAGTGCATGGTTACGTTAATTTTTAGCCAGTAATAATCAATAAACAGGAATCGAAATCAGTAATTACCTCAAGTATCTAAATTTCACCTCCTTTTGTTTTCCTGGAAGTTTTATTCTACATGCTTAATGATCAGTTCTATTCAAATGTCTTGGTGTACAACACGCTTTTAATGATATTTTTGCGAGCAGTACCTAACAAGGCAACAAATGCATCACCATCCTTCAGGAGTAACCTGATTAATTGACATTATCAGTGCTGCATCGACAGAAAATGGCGTTTTGCTGTTCATCAGTCCAATATTTCTCCAGACGGAGTCCAGCTTTCTGTATAATATTTCTTAGTTGTTCAAGAGTATGCTTGTAGCTATATCCATCACCTTCGTGTAGATAAAGTCTCTCTCCCTTCTCCAGTACCAGGTCGATGCCTAGACCAGCTGGAAAGGAAGACAAAAGTATTTATTTTTTTCCGATTGGTTAAAAAATATCGCATACTTGTATGTTTGTCCACCCTTTCTTTGCAATAATGACATTTTTGTTAATAGACCGATACCATTATAAAAATAATGAACAAGAGCTGCAAGGAAATTAACGATCATCAGAAATCAAATCCGTTTGAAAAGAAAACAGACTTTAGCAAGAAAAAATAGAAATGGCAACACACTTTAAACTTATTTCCCCTATACCATAACTATATAGCCGTCGAAATTAATTGGCTTTGCAATACACCATTCAGCTAAGGCTAAATCCTTCAAATCCTGCTTTTTCACCTGTATTTGATCCAAAATATAAAGCCTTCTTTCAAGGCAAGCCAAACACTATCCCATCATTTAGCATTCGAATTTCCGCTCTTTTACAAAACACACATATTGATGTCATTTGGAACGATAGAAATTCCACCCTGGCTCATGAATTCACATGAAGACACAGACAGTTTCACCTTTCGTTGATCCTTCTCGAAATTGCAGTTCAAATATGAAGCATTCTAGGTTACCTGAAAGATGTTGGTCTATATAATAGGCTACTACGCACTATTTCATTCATGTGTTAACTTACCCATTTAAGATTTTTAACATTTGTCTTCTATTTTTCGGTTTGTTTAATGTGATTTCTTTTTGGATCGCTGTGTGGTTTACCGTTTGATAGCCCCAATGACCTTTTATGTGTTGACGGGCCGTTAAGAATGTAATGATTATACTATTTTTCCCTACAAGAGGTTCCGTCATATTCCTGAATGATACCGACGTCCCTATGTGACTATATTTTAAAAAGTAGTTTTGTAACAATGCTTTGTGTTACTTATTCCGTAGCAGTATCGGGGAAATGATTGTTTAACAACGAATATGTTTCAAACAAAAGTAGTTTGAAACCCATTAAGTGTGTTCAGAAGGAGTCCAATTTTTGAGGAAAAATAGGGTTTTAAAGCAGAATTTTTAGCCAAGTTTTCTATGAAATTAACAGAAAATTCGTTTGAAATCCACTCATGCATTCAGGAGGAATTGCGTTTTTAAGTTGAAAATCAAACTGTTTTCTATTTAAAGGATAGGAGATAGGAAAAGCGATAGGAACACTAGTTACTGTAATAGATTTGCGTGTGACGTTTCGGTGTATGCACAGTCGCCTTCATCAGCCACATAACATATTCTAGCCCTGACATACGACGTGAACGAGATACTGAAATATTATGTAAACTTGGGTCGATAATAGTGTCACGAGATGGTAAACAGATCATATACCACAAAATACACAAATGTACTGTGATCAATTAGATTTTTTAAAATCTTGATCAGAGTTGTGAGAGACTTAGCAGTCCCCCTCGTTCCTGTAATTGCTTCTAAATACGGTCATGAATCATTTTAATTACAAATCTATTAAGTCGGGGAACATGTTGCGCTGGTGATAAAAGCTGAAATGTATTAACACTGTTTAATATCGAGGTCGGGTTATTTGTTATGTACGGTATAGAGAATCAACGATGAGAACACAGCAACATGTATTTGTTATGGCAATCATGAACATAGACCTAATTTTTTATATAGTGTATCAATGCCTCCTGTGTGATCACGTTGACATATGGGTCGGGTTTTCCATCAAAAGTGTCTTGATATCATCTGTATTTACCTTCTACAACCAAATGTAATAACAAACTGATGTATACAGAATTGTACGTTATGATATAGATATTGATGATATATGAAAGGCTATTACTTACGAACTGGCCATTTGGCAGCTTGTTTCGACTGGAGGTATACGTTTACATAACTCGTGCTGTCAGGCTTGGTGTCCAATGTAAAATCAACTACAAGATCCAGCATATCCATGTCGATCTCACTACCTTCCTCTTTATTCAGGCGTACAATGGCATTCCGTAAGAACGTCTGTGCTATAGCTATGGATGCAATATATGTTTAAAGTAAATATACTAGATGTACAAAACCAATAGTTTTAACTTTGTTTTATATTCTGTTGAATCTAGAAAGAGTTCGTGAGAAAAACCAAACAGGTAAATAAAATGTGTATTTAAAACAAAGCGTTTGGGGCGTGTTATAGAGTGATTATGACAATCACGCAAACTGCACAGCAAATGAACAATTGACATAATGCTTTGCGTTTTGCCGTTTTTACACACTTGTGATTACTTCTATCCGTCTTAATGAATATATTGAAGCTTTATATGTTCGTTCATTTGAATTTCTATAAGGTGACCCTGCATTTAGATTTGATGTAGTTATATGTGTAATGATTGAATTCATAAACGTTGCAGATGAACTTGTTAGAACATACACGAAGTCTTTACATAAGTAATAATAAAAAGATGGTAGTTATGCTTTCCTTTAAGTTCATAGCATGGTTCTAAATAATTACCAAATTATCAAAAAATTTAAACTCTCAGCGCGTGATACAATATTTTTAACAAAATCCATTGCCCTTCAGGCAGGGCGTAATAACCGTCACAGTAGACATCATTCCAAGATCATAAGAGGTGAGTAAATTTGGCATAGTCCTTTATGATAACCAGTTTTCCTTAATGTCTCCCATGGACACTGCTTCAATTTTGACCTTTACGTGAGCCTTTGACCATTTGAAAAAAAAGACGTTTGGGTTATGTCTTTGGCCAACTCATGTCAGTGACCATTGAAAACACGTTGCTACTACTTTTTGCTAGTAATCCTCTACATTGCTAGGGTGAAACCAGCTTCGTTGATTATTCAGTATAATGTTACCACTTGTGGTATACATTCAGCATTGTCATGTCGATTTCAGTCAGTTCAACATTACCATCAGGAAGGATGCAAAATATATCATGGCCTCTTACAAACAAACGTCAATGCCTGCTGTTAATTGAGCTAAAATCAGTGCAATAAAGTTTGAAAACAACAGATGGTAGTGATAAATCTGCCTTTGCGGCATGATATTCCATGGGCTGGTATTCCCATGTGCCAAGGAATACAGAAAATATAATACTAAATGTTAAGGCAAGTTCATGATATAGTATTAATGTCTTACGAATGAAAATATTTTCGATATTTCTATCACTAAGCCTTTGTATTACAGAGAGAGAGGGTTGAATATATACTGATAGGATAAAGAAACGCAGGGTAATATTTATTCCGATATTTTGAAAACGCGTTCTCCAAATAAAGTGAAACTTTGTGGATTGAGTAATTAGGTCATATAACACCTTGTCATGTAATGAAAATTTAGTCACGGTACAGTGCGAAGCTCTGGTAAATGGAGGAAGGAAAAAACAAGAATCTCGTACACCGTGTTGTTCTGGTCTCATGCAGCGTTGGTCAAGTCACTTTTCGTTAGTCTTTATACAGACCAACTGCTTCCCTAAAATTAATTGAGATTTGGATTTGTTTTAAGAATGGCACGACTCACAGAAGTTCAGAGGGGTCAGGCCATTCAGATGCTGATGCAAGGACAGCTGCAAAATCAGGTTTCTAGGCACTTTGATGTTAATGTATCCACCATAGAACGTCTGGTAAGACGTCTTCGGGAAACTGGGCGATTGGCCGATCGCTATATCGCCGTCTCCCATGTGCGTAATCGGTGTCTTACTGCCGTTGAGAGTGCACTTAATGTTCGTGGAAATCATGGGCGTCCTATAAGTTCAAAAACTGTAAGGAATCGATTACGAGAAGTTGGTGTAAGAGCACGTCGCCCCTACGTAGGTCAACACCTTACCCCTGCTTTACGTCAGCGTCGTATGGCCTGGGTTGCTGCACATGCTCCACGACGGTTTCCACTGAGGCAGTGGAGACAAGTTTTCTTCACGGACGAGTTTCGATTCTGTCGAACGTTTTACGGACGCTTGCGTTGTAAAGAGGGATAGGTTTGGGGGCGGTTCAGTATTGGTGTGGGGAGGAATCTCACACGGGTTAAAATAACAATTTGTTGTTACTTATGGTAATCTAACAGCAGTTAAGTATAGAGATGAGATCCTCCGACGCCATGTTATCCCTTTCTTACAGCAGCATAATCTAACCCTCTAGCAAGATAATGCTAGACCACACGTAGGAAGGATTTGCCAAGTCTTTCTGGCCAACAACATTCAATCACTATATTGGCCGCCATATAGCCCTGATTTGTCCCCGATCGAGCATCTTTTGGACAAGTTGGATATAAAGGTTCAAAAGCGCTAGCCACTCCCTGCTACTCGAGAGCAGTTGACCAGAGCTCTGATTGACGAGTGGGACAACATCCCCATAAGACGGATTAACGCTCTCATGAACTCTATGTCCAGAAGAATAAGGGCCGTGACCACAGCAAACGGCGGACACACAAGATATTGATGACTCAGTTCAATTTCAATTTCAAAATCATATTGGTCCATTTAATTTAATCGGTAGTACCTCTAAACCAATCGTCAGATGCAAAATACAGACTTTGGAAATTTTTAAGCTTTAATTTATCTGTAAGTATACAAACTTTCTTTTTAAATGAAGCCCGATATTATACTTAGTTTCTGGTTTAAAGTTCACCCTGCGTTTCTTTATCCTTTTAGTATATAACAGCTATCATTACTTTGTTTGAATATGTTCAAGCGCGAAGTAGATAGCTCGCGCTTCTGCCAAGAATATTGAGGCGTTGTTCGGTAGCCGGCACCCATTGGCTTTATCTTGTGTAACCATGTCGGAGATAACCCTATCATCTTTCGAACCATAAATATATCAATGTAGAAATATTTTATATGCATATTTTAACTGCAATTTCGAGAAGGATGAAAAAAAGGTGCAACTGCCATGGTCTGATTTAACACGTTCATGTAGTGAAATGACCGAATTTGGTCAATATAGATATTTGTGTTCTGCAAAAGAGCTGAAATTCGAATACCGAATGGAGGAATGGTCTTTGGTTTGTTTTGAAACACTTTATATATATATATATGTATATATATTTTGGGCCAAACAAAATTGCAAAAAGCAGAAATTGAAGGATTTGACTTGATTAGCTGAGTGGTTTATTGCAGAGCAAACTTATTTCGACGGCTTTATATTAATATATAGTTCGCTTGCCTCTACAAAGAGGTGTGTTCTGAAAAACTTGGAGAGCTAGCCTCACACCCTAGTGATGAAAAGTGTTAATCATTTGAAATATGAAGGTCTAGCAGATCCTTACAAAATGAAGCCGCAGTCTAATTCTGATCTATTTAGAGTTCTACAAAGTCTGTCCATCAGCTCCAAAACCAGAGTAGGTCACCACGTTTGAAATATTCAGAGCCCGAAGTGGAAGGAACGACAATTTCCTAAGAATTTGGTTTGCTCAACAACAGCGAAACAAAGAAATATATTTGGATCGTGATGTTGTCTATGCATATGACAAAAATGCATACAAACTTTTTTTATTGCGAAATTTTTAAATCCATTTTCGTCTGCCCAAATTTGGAGTCGATTCAGACATTGTTGTAGTTGAGTTTTCCATATCATACGTATTTTATGAACAAAATCTTAAGTAAGTTTTGTATAAGTGACATATTTCAGGAATCTTACATATATTGTAAAAACGACTATAAATGTGGTCCACATGGTGTTTTTAACGTCTTAGTGTCTTCTAATACATACTAATGTGATAATGATATTTTTTTGGTACACTATACATCAACGGAAGACCTCGATGTCGTTTTTTTATTGTTTTGCTTTTACTGGGTTGATCGACCCGGGAACAGCTATAGTAATTTTAAAGCATGATTCCCTTTATAGTAGCTAGTATCTTCGCTGCTTAAGAACTTAAGCGAAACTCGGACTGTAACATGCTAATTGGGTTAAATAGCTTGCCCATTACACAACCAAGATGGTACATATCGATTCGTTTACTGTGAACTCCAAGCAAGTCGCTGACCCTGGCCTAACTGCTGACCTTGACCCTGGCGAAGAGAACTCCTGATATGACGCCATGAAGGCCTAAGAATCGAATATCCGCGTATGCTTTAGTCACACACTGGTCCTGGCTTGATAGGACAATTAACTAATAATTAATTATCAATAATATAAATATTCATTAATATATTGTAAATATACTCCAGCCGACTCTGCTGACTCAAACTCGTTATCGAATAAAAAAAAACGATTAGTCAGAAGCGCTTTAAAGATTAAAATGACATATTGCCCTCATGTTTGTCAGCCGCCAATCCTATATACAACTGTTCAAACGAGGTATAAAGCGCGTTACGGTAATAAACCTTATAGTATTTAAAGTATATTTACAAATTGTTGACGTCATGTCACATAGACTTATAAGTACAATTAAAGTTTCTTATGATATCCACAAGATTTTTTTTCTTGGAAGCCTAGTCAATATATAGCAGTCCATCTATGTCTTTATTAGTTTGTTCATCACGGAAGGAAAGCACCAGTATGAGCCATTTTTTCATATTGATGTTTGACGAATCGGTCGAGTTATGACGTCGGCGGCTCACGTGTTTTGATTTTCAGTAAACCAAAGCCATCTTCTGATTTCATTGCCTTTATCAATGGCTGGAAATTGAAGGTTGATGGAAACATACCTGTTTTGTATGCCATTAAGATAGTGTTTCCATCTTGGGTGGTGTCAGCACTGAATACTAGTCGACATTCGTCTGCATAAAATAGTAATTGATTCGTTTGTTTGTTAGAAAATAATATTTATGATAAGTAATAAAACACCCATAGATAAAAAAAATAATGGAATATTTCAATGTAAAATGTCAATTCAGTGACCGCTTCTGATTTATGTCCTTTCTTGCCGTTTGTTGTCCGTTAACATCTTCATATTGAAGAAAATGTAACAATTTACATTAAGCTTCGATGGAAAAAATATACATAGATCATTATTGGTCTGGAATAATAATTGATACGACAGCGAGCAATGTAGTTTTCACAGTTCACAACCACGGAAACCTGAAATTTGAGAGATATCCATTTAGTTCTTATGAAATAGCGAAAACAGACTCTACTAGGCTAAATCCAAGAATGTCGCCTGTCTACAAATTTATTTGTTTGTTTTTGACAGTCTCAAAATCGAATGGGCACAAATAAGGTTGGAGGGGGGGGGGGGGAACCTACACATGAAATTTCAAGAAATTGCGATAACAATCTTGCAAAGTGAAAATTTAAGATGGCCTCGCCTTTCAGCCATTCTGATTTCTTTATCAGTCCCAAAATGAAACTGCCACATCCAGGGGCAAACAGGAACCTACATAGAAAATATTGTTCTTCACTTTTTGGAGGTGTTCGCGCATGAGTAATACATGAGGAGAAAGGTAATCGGGCAGACAACTTCATGGGTTAATGTTAAAATCAAGAAGGTGTTCTGGAGCGTGAAATACAGCCACGGTAAGTTTGAATGTGTTTATTTCACGTATATGGTGTGCTAATGAACAATTGAATGTGCATATGTGTATAAGATTGCGCATAGTGGTTGTTGATTGTGTTAAGGGAACAGGATAAGAGTATGTGATATCGAGTGTAGTGATGTGTATTGTTATGTAGCATAAAATTAGACATTACTGTATGGAAGAACAATAGTGATTTTGTAATAATACTTAATCATAATGTTGAGGACATACACTTGTAGGGATCATTATCTGTATACTGTAGCTCCATGTCCCGGTCCATATTCATATCGCTATGAGCTGAGCCGACGGTGAAATATATTGAAACCCTAAACAATTATATGCATATATGTGTATACCTTCAAGGACACGTGATTGTCTAGTTACCTGGCAGTAGGTATTGTACAGACTTGAGTCTTTGCAGGAATGTGAAGATATTATATATACCGCATTGTTGTTCATGGACATTATGGAGGTCCAGCAGTGTATTGTGGCCGTTGTGCTTCGGTTATGACACGTTATGACCCTATCTACGAGAAAGCTTCGGTGAGGTTGATTTAAGCGATGCCTCTCATTATATATATGAGAAACAGTGTCATGCAGCGCTTAGATATCTGTCAGGTGGAAGTGGTATGTGTGTGAGTCACTTGGGAACGTTAGGAATCAACTCATTGGAGGACCAGGAGAACTGTACTGACAATATTGTGCGGGGTTTCGTACCAGTGGAGCTCAGATTAGGATTTGGTAGACTTTGTGATAGTGCTATATTACACTTAAAAATATAGCAGGGTTTAGTAAGGGTGATATAATTTAGATACCATCATTGTGATACATTGTTATGAGCGTGAGTCCGTCGTGTGAGAGAGATTCATGTGTATGTAATTTTGTATATTTTACATAATCATTTCTGTAAATTATTATAAATGTAAAATTTGAAAGCTGTCATTTCTCTCATTTGTTGAGTATGGCGCAATATATCTCAGTTCAATTACGGGTCCTTTAAAAGAAATAGCGATAACTTTACCACAAGAAATAGAAGATGCCCAATTTTCTGCCATTTCTTTTTCCTGATCGGTCCTAAAATTAAATCGGCACAACAAGGCACCACGAATGGAAATGAAGAGAAACATCAAGTACTTAACAATAACAAACGTCATTGCAAAAATTCAAGATGAACGTCTGTCGGCTATTTTGATATTCTGATCAGTCCCAAGTTAAGTAGTAATAACTAAGGAAAAAGGCAAATAAAAAAATGTTTACTGACAGATGGAGGACGGACCAAGGACGTTCGGCGATTGAAAAGCCCACCATCTGTTGATTTGTTTAAATGGTGTCCCACATTAACGTTTAAGAAACGTTAAAGAAAAAACAATAAAATGTCAAACACATCCGACTAACACTAACGACAATTACATAGATAATATTTTTGTATCATAATATAATGCACTTAACTGCATGAATATTGTATTCACATTTCTTCATTTAATAACGGCCACTTAAAAAAAATACAGTAATCATCATGGCGTAATTTCTTGATCTAGTCAATTGTTTATGCTATTCATATTGGAATAAATGAGATCGGTGCATCATATTAAATCAGTAGAATTCTTTTTACAAAATATCGACATCATATCCATGCACTCTTGGCAATATGACCAAAATATACTTTTTGTGATATTTCCATTTTTTAGGTATAGGTAGGTATGTTGCACAGTTGTTGCGATAACTTTTGTCAAATATTTCGAACGTCCCATGCGTTTTATAGATATTTCCAAGATAATATCTTACCTGTCAATATTGTTGATATCTTCCTGAGTATATTCACCTGATCATCATATGACATTATCATTAACGTGCTGAGAAATAGGACGAGTTTTGGACCTTCAACGTTCCTGAAAAAAATGTTAAAAAATACTATGAATGAAAAGTATTTGTTTTAATGAACATAATTGACACGTCAACGAAAAAATATGATTTTCGTTTGACGTTTGATGCCCTATGCTCTATCGGTCAAACTAGTGTCGCCGAAACAAATGGGGCGAATTCCATACCTAAACATACCTAAACATTCCATACCTGATATGCATCGGCAGTTTATGTAATATCGCGGGAAGTAATTTTAATAATATGCCTGCCTTATTTGTGATAAAATGCTTGAATTTTTATGTGATAGTTCGTCCATCGACCGTATCATATTCTAATCTTCATTGACCTCTTTCTAAACTGTTGGATGTCTAAAAAATATCATAAATTACTAACTCCAAATGGGGAGGAGAATCCACAAAATTGTGTTTATTGCGAAAAATCCAACTTCTCCCTATAACCTATACAGATTCTACCAAATATTCTGAAATAGCTTCTTCCTTTCGAGTGCCAAAGGGGCTTGGTTAGACTCTATACCATTTCCTCAAGTGCAAAAACGAAAAAAAAAAAAAAAAAAACAAGAGAGCCTCGCTAGCTATTTCATGAGCGGATAAACGATATATTAGTCTTATTTAATTATAATCAATTTTCGATTAACTTAACACGAGCGAAACTAGAAATGTTAAAATCTAAATGTTTGCGTACGGCGAACGAAACCAGTAACCTAAATGTCAAATAACATCTCAGTACTTACCTCAGTTGTTCTATTCCTTGTTCGAAGTCTTTTGGTATGGGTGTTATATTAACAGCGGCACCGTATTCATTCGAAAGTTTCGACACTGATTGCAGAAGGAATTCTTAAAAATGAACACAAAAGTTACACTTCGAGTGTTGTTCACTTAATCAGGACCATCGTTGCGCATAGAATGTTAATAAAAGTTTGATTTAAGACAAATTTAAACTTTCAATGATGAAAATACCGTGATTAATACTTAATGTAAAGCAGCTGCTTTGTTTGCTTGAGTCATTTCATGAAGTGAAAAGTCAACTTAAGGTGAATTCAAGAGCCAGGGTGGAATTTTTATCGTTCCAAATTTGGTCAACATCAACATTTTGTGTTTTGTAAAAGAGCGGAAATTGGTGTAATGGTCTTTGGTTTGTTTTCAAAGAATGTTTGATATTTTGGGTGAAATACAAGTGGAAAAACATGATTTGAAGGATTTGTCATAAGCTGAATGGTGTATTGCGACGGCTATATAGTGATGGTTCGTTAGTCTTTGGTATAGAAGTTCATGATAAGTTATGAATCACATAGGCGTTTTGCATCTTTAAAATATCGCACGAGGTATAGCTTGTTCTTTTTAAATAATTTACATAAAACAAAAAATACCGAAAACATGAAAAGATGTACAGATCTATTTCGACGACACCTAAAATCCAAGTATGTAATGTGAAATTCTCAAGTGACAATATGGTATACAATAGCATGTTCTTGAATCTTGTTACTTGTTTTGATAACACTTTCTACATAATTGTCATCGTATGAAAAGAAAAAAACACATCAACCAACAGGGGGCACGACTAATTTCCATCGAGAGGCCTTTAGGAAAATCTTACCACCAAATGCAAAGAAGACTTTGTCAACCGGAGACTATTATTATTTAAGATCTTGTCCTGCGTATATTTCTACTTTGATGTAATTTCACATTCAACTATGTGTACAGTCAGTCCCCTTTCTTAGAGAATAAAGCTTTAATAACATGAGAACGAGGATGCTCTTTCAGTTCTGGACAAAGAAGGTGGTGTACAAAGTGGAAACAATCAAATGTGCTCATGTGCTTATTAAAAATATTTTCTAGAAGAGGGTATTGAAGATTTGTTAAAAGCTGTTTGGAGACGAGGACATTTCCACTTACCTTTTGAAATATCCACTGGATAAAAGGAACATTTTCCTTGCCTTTCAATCAGTTCATCTATACAAATCTTCGATTTGGAACAATTACCGCTTCCGATGTCAACCAATATTAATTCATTTGCAGGTCGAGGGATGATATCCTTCAAATAAAAAAAGAAAGAAGAAAATATAAAATGGATGTAACAGAGTATGAAATATCCTATTTCTAATAAAGGAATACAAGCAGTTGTAATGCATGTTTCAAAAAATACACATATTGACTGCACGGGGATGAAATCCTTCATCCACTTGTAAGACCCATTTTTTTGGTGCTGTCGGCACCGAGTTTACATGAAAAAACGACAAAGCTTGCCCATATTACCATATAAAATAACTATAACTTGTAGCTTTAAAGAAGTATTGTTTTTGTATTTCCTTTCCTTACCTGGATATGGGCCTGTAGAATAGACATTTGGCATCTTGTGAAATAGTTCTTGCCAGCGTTTTTCGTTGTACACTGATTTTGGAGTTCCGATCCAGTTTTGTCGTAGTTGTACCAAGTAGGTATGTACTTAGGTTTTGACATTAGTCCTGCCACCAAGACACCTTTTTGCGGAGTTTCTCCCATTCTACTACCTGTATAACACATATACACATTTTCACCTCACAAGAAAATGTGCTAATGAAGAAAAGTGCATACTAAACAATAATGTTATTACGCTTTTACTCTCAGTGTTATTGTGCATGCAGGTTGAATTCTTTATCGCTACCACCTGTTGTTTTTTAAACTTCATTTTACTGATTTTAAACCATTCATTAAACAAATTTTATGTTCAGTGGCAACAGGAATGAAATACATATACCAATATCGAATTTCACTCCGTAAAACCTGTTATTGGTCAATGGTCTCCAGACCATAGAGACAACCAAGGAGACGAAGTTGTCCTTGCCCGTATTCGGATGGGTCACACATACCTTGCACATTCATATATGTTGAAAGGCGAAGATATTCCTCGGTGCATAGAATGTGATGAGCCATTCACCGTTAAACATTTTTATTGGATTGCACTGACCTTCTGTCTACTCGAGAATGTTATTATCGTAACATTACATGTCTAAAAATCCTTGTTGACATCGTTGAGATTTGTAAAATTCTAGGTTAACTGAAATATGTTGGTCGATATAATATTTTATGTTAATATACCCATTTTTGATTTTAAAGTGCACCCTGAGAGGTCAGCTATGTTGACTTTAAAAAATAGTTCTGCACATAAAATACACATTGCCGACAACACACCTTTGGCTGAAAGACTTTGACCTCGTTTTCGGGCACCCAAACCTGTGACGTCATAAGTTCAACGCTTTTGCTGATGCAACCATATTGCCGTTACTGTGCTATATGTAATTGTGTTCTATTTTGGGATTTTCCGGAGTAATTTCTTTGTTTATTTACGTGAAAGAACTTCACAACTCGAAATATTTAAGGTAGTGAACGAGGGGTCGGTAATTAGCGCTTAAATTAGCTGAAATGGCTTCCTATCGAGGAAGGAAGCGGTGTGCAGCGTGCGGTTGTCCTATCACTAACACGGATGGGGTGTCGATGCATGCCGTCGATAAATAAAACTGTTGATTAATTGAAAGTATATTTGTTAGTTTGATATTTTTGTTATTAATTTTACAACTAAACACAAAATTGATAGGCTAGCCTATGGCTTGGGCGGTCATTGGAATATTATTCCTTCGTAATCGTGAACGCCTAATACACGGTGTAGGCCAAGTCGTGAATTGGTCTCGGGAATATTCGTCCCGAGAATTTTCGTACTACTATTATATAGTATAGAATATTAGAATTTATAGAATAAGTTATGCGTGTATAAGGTGTGTATGTTGTGTATATAAGGTGTATATGGGTTTTATACCTTCCAGCAGACGACGTTGTTTTAGTTAATTATTAAAGATTGTTAATATGATCATTGTTTTGTTTTGTTTTCAATTTTGCGATTGTAAAAATAACAATAAGATCACCAGTCTTGATTTGTAAACAGTTCACAGTGTATATATGTCATCTAAACTCATAATCACACCTGTGCCAGGCTATGTAATTAGCGCCTCTGTGGCTTGTAGAAACAATGGTGACACCTGTGAGGCGACACGCCTTTCGGCTAACAACAGACGCATACAGGTACTTGGTTAAAAACCAATCAAATCATTGTATAAACCTTTAAAACATAACATTTTATTACCAACACAGCGGAGGGTGTTATAATTGGTTGTTGACACCCTATCTATATATATCCATAGTGCTACGAAAATTCCCCCGGACGAAAATTCGTCCGTACGAAAATTACCGAAACCTCGTGAATGTATGCATAGTCTTGCACAATCGCGATTTATCGACGTCAGAAATTGTTGATCCAGACTTAAAGATAGTAAAATTAGTCCAAAAACGCATCCAATTTTATTTCGTTTCTTTGAAACGACGATTCACTGTTCGATGCATGCATTCACGACTGCTGGTGAGGCCCAGCAAAGTACGTGCCAATCTATGTTGCCCAAGCGATCGTCACTTTCCGAAGGGTTATTTTCCTCCTCACTGGATAAATCGTCTTGATAACTCCGGTTCAGTTCGGTAGGGCTGGATTCCGTCTTCAAAAATATCATCCACACCATAATCAGACTCCACAAAACTCATGTTCAAATCGCTATCAGTTGCGGTGTCTTTGTCACTGTCATTCATGTTGGCTGCCATTTCTGTTGAACTTAGGACGTCACGAGTAGAAGAGCCTCGATTCCGCGGAATTGACGATTATGCTAATGATGTCTGAGCGGACAGGTGAAAATCGACAACTTTGAGCTTTAATAACTCGACACTGGGGCGACGGATTTTGACGGGGTTTTCGTTGTTATTACTTTTACGGCATTCTTAACATTATAACATTATAAAATAAAATCACACTCAGGGTACGCTTTAAGCATTTATCTTTTTCGTTTTGGATTGTTAACTGTTATTTCCTTTAGGGTCGCTGTGTGTTTCATCGTTACATGACCCTGACCTTCAGTGAAGGTGTTGTCACGAGCATCAGGGGGACACAATAAAAAATGGAAAACTATAAAGTTTGCCCTGGCACGCTGGGTTTAGTGCATAGCCCAGTGCCCTCTTTTCTACATATGGCACATCTTTTATGTGAATTGCCACCATAAAAACAGAGATTTGTGGTAGTTGGTTGGATGACATAAAATCAGTGTAAGCATCATCTGCATCATTCGCCAGGTCATCTGGAGTGCTCATACCAGAGGTTTCATATAATTCAGACTGCAATGGTGTTTGCTTGAGGTACCGCTTGTAGCACTTTCCACATTCTACTGATGCTAATGTTCTCAGCAGTCAGCTGCTGGTGCAGCAAGTTATACTGGGGTAGATAAACATGTGTTACCAGAGCTCGGGCTCCTTGAGATGAATCTTTCAACCTGGTTTTGCATCCACGACCTATGTACACGTCTAGCATGATTATTAGTAAACTTGATGGGATATTTGCAGGAATATGAATTTAATACAGAATGTTTGACATCAGTGTAACTTTGTCTATAGATACTTAACAAAAATGGTATGAATATTTAATAGTATTACCTTTATATATCTCAGTAAATTAACATACTTGCACATTCAGGTGCCGGACAAGGTTATCATTTCTGGCCTCATTTATGAATTATTAGTTTGAATAACTAATTTATATCAATTATTGTTATCATTAATGATAAACGAAGAAAAGTGAAATGACGATAACATGTTGTCAGTAATACTGACTATTTAATCATTGTTAAGTCTTTATAATACAAACTTAACTGCCAGTTGGTCTTTAGAGGATAGATTTCTAGTGCAGAAAACATCATATTAAGTTATACCTACTGAATTTAATTTCAAAACAGATACAAAATACTAAATGTTCTTTGGTACTACACAAAACTGGAAAATATAGCCGTATTTGGCAAGAAAAACAAAAACAAAAAATTTGAATCTCAATGATTATGGCAAATTATAAGATAAGTATGTTCAAATTGTTAAAATATATTTTACCGGTTTTGAAGTCACTTGAAATTTATTCAATAGAAGTTTGTGAAAGAAATGACATTGACTTACATTCAAAGTCACACTAATTAAATTTGTAAAACCATTTAGACGACCTCTTCTCATGAACTTAAATGCCTAGTGTCGTGATATTTGAATGGTATAGATATACCAGATAAGAGCTACAGGGACATGCAAGGTGCGAATGAGCTAAACTTTGTTTAGAGAACGTCTGTTGAAACTGATCTCTATCTAAGACGCTGCTGGTGCAATCATCAAATCAATTGAACTGGTGTTAAATAAAGGTAAGATAAAAAATTTAAAATCCTTTGAAGTTTTCTTGTATGCCTATTAAGTTATTGCTTATTATACTCATGCACATTTTCTATTTTACGCTAGTATATTAACTCATTATTGATTGGAACTGCAACATTTTATTTTTGATAAAATCATTATATTTGATTATACCAGTACCGTTTCAAATCAGGATGATGTTAAGTCGCATTGATATATGAATTTTCGCCTGGGCCATAGATACTAAGAGACTGCATACGTATAAAATGGAAGAAATCAAGATTCTATATCACCAGAAAAGTATATATACGATTTTATACAACTTGACTCTGGCATATGCATCATAATTTATGCAGCGGTGATCAAAGTTTGAGATCGATGCAAGTATCTATAGACATTACACCGAACGCAAGATGGAAAGAAGCGTTGTTTTGTTATATTTCTCGGGTAAACGAGACACGAAGATTGCACTTTCAAGTGCATACAAATAAGTACATCTGTAAAACAACGTCTAGAGAGCTACGAGGCCCTTGGCCTCTTGTTTAATATTGGCTCTTCAAAACTACCGATAAGACTTTAATGGCGACATAGTTAGCAAATGTCGAGAATTCAGTCTGTAGCAACCTACAGTCTTTAAGAACTGTTCAAATGAACACAAGTGATATGTATTCAGTGAAAGACGCAGTTGATACCCTATATAAATGACATATAACTTACCTTAGTTCATACCGTAGCCCACCCGTCGACCAGAACGACTTTGCCTGTTATATTGATAGAGTCTATATACTATCTAGACATATTATAAGGTTACAGTTGTGACGAAAAGGGTTTGCCGAGTTGTTAATAGCCAGTAAGAATTTATATGGCCATAACTTAATATAAGAATGTAGTTTATGAAAAAATTAATGCAAATGGCAATGTCTTATTCAGATAGGATGTATGATATTCGTGTTTTGGGTATTGTTGTGTAAATACCAATGTAAAATCAAATATGGCAGAACTGGTTGATGGAGAAGGGATATCAGAATAGCGAATTATTATTATTATTATTTTTTTTTTTTTGCATGAGCATTCCTATATTTAACAGAATTATACAAAGTGACGTGAATTCAACAAAAACACAAAATATGTACCCTCTAACATGATATTTAACAAACCTCAATTCAGTTGAAACCACACCTGATTTGTCAAGCAGAACGGCTATGCAAGTTTTACTAATACTGACAACATTTATGTTCATTGTATATCGTATTTATACAGCTGTAGCAAATAATGAATTGTTTCAGTCGTGATTGTTATCCTCTCAAAGATAAGCACAGCTGATTTTATTGCAAGCAATGCATAATTTATAGATATTATTTTTGATGATATGATACAGACAGGACATGCATGTAACTGAAACCGTATTCTAATGTAACTAACAATATCTAAAACGTTCCTCTTACTATCATATAGCCAAATAACTTTGATCATACAATAGGTATATGGTATAAAACACGCATATGCAAATGTAGTATTCAATCCGGTAGAACTAGTCAATAAAGGAAGCACCACCATGCAATATCAGAAGTGAATTCAACTTCAGCAAGAGCAAACAGATATTCTATACATTGCAAACATGGATTATCATTATCATCATTGTTACACACTTAACGACCCGTCAACACATATTATGCTCACTGTGGGCGACAATAGCGCTGTCTTCGGCATACAGCGGGTCACGTACAATAATAAACCAATATAGAGAACTGTTGTTTTCTTACACACAAATAATAACGGGAAAATTTGTAAAAAGTAAATAACTAATAACCAGCATTCATCTCATGATTGATAAAAAGTTGAATTAAATATGGAAGGATATAATTTTTTTCCAATTATATTTTGTCTTAGTTTTAGAGTTGTTCTAAACTTTCAATATTGCCAGTGTATATCAAACATTAGACATTAAAGCCTTTCTGTCTCATACTACATCATCAAGCAATGATTTATTGATGTGAGACGTACAGATTGGGCAGTCATAGTTTAGTTCATAGTGGTTATGATTATGGTTGTTTAGAGTTTGTAATAAACATTGTCTAGGGTTAATATATCTATGGCAGTAAAAAAGATGGTCTTAATGAAAATTATGATTTAGAGAGCTGGCTGAATTCCTTTGCTGACAGAGAATGATATTTCATTTTCTTGGTCCTCCTTTTCTGAAAAATATGTTATTATTACAAGATGGAGGATATGTCCTAAACAGAGTTTTTTTCAAAGTGCCGTACAGAGTGAATATCATTTATGATATTAATTTTTTTTATCAAAATTCAGATATCTTGTTTGGAAAGAAACTCTCCACATAGTTCACAGATCAATAGGTTCAATAAAGATTCTATTATTTCGAAGTTGATACATTGACTCTTCATAATTGTTACAAAATAGTTGGATATCAACTACGTATTCAGGTGTTTCTTTAAGATTTTGTACATTAAGATCATTCTATGTTTCTCCTATTGTAATCTAAGGACATCCAATCTAGCTCTGAATATAGTTTTTCACGTGAGGTACCTCTGTGTAACCCAGGTATTAACCATGCAGCCTCAAGATTTATAGATTCTAATAGAGTTTTAGTATCGGCTGGACAGTTATCCCAGACAATATCAGCATATTCTAAAATTGGCCTAATATGGGATCAATGTCATATTGAAATGGAATTTATGTCCAATTCATGTTTAAAAGTCTCAGAATACTATTTTTTTCGTTTGTTTTTTTATACATAAAATCTATGTGCTTATTCTATTTGCTATCCCTACTAAATACTTAACCAAGATGCTTGTGGTCTGAAGATGTTTTGACTAGTTGATTGTTGAAATTAACATCTCGAAGGTTTGGCATGATTTTCTTTGTAAATTATTATTATTATTATTATTACATTCTTAACGGCCCGTCAACACATAAAAGGTTATTAGGGCCATCAAATGGTAAAACAAACAGCGATCCAAAAGGAAACAAAATTAAACAAACCAAAAGGTAAAAGACAAATGTTAAAAATCTTCAATTGGTATGTTAATGTTAATGTCATGGTTTATTATATAGACCAACATCTTTCAGGTAATGTAGAATTTTACAAATCTCAACAGTTTCAAAAAGGGATTTTAGACAGGTACTGTTACGATAAAAAACGTTCTCGAGTAGACACAAGGTCACTGCAGTCAAATAAAAAATCGTCTAACGGTGAATGGCTCTTCACATCCTAGGCACCAATGACTAGCTTCGCCTTTCAACATATATGAATGTGTAAAGTATGTATGACCCAACCGACGACAGGCAAGGACAACTTCGTCCCGGTGGTTGTCTCTATAGCCTGGAAACAATTCACCGGTAACAGGTTTAACGGAGATAAATTCGGT